CCCAAATGCTTGGAAACCCCTTAAAAGAAGGGTGTGGAATCAGGTATTTGCACTTATCCTTTCAGCCATTCCCTTTGTAGGGGGAATAATACAGCCTTCAAAACACTTTTGATTCCACTTCCTGACTCTAGGAGAAGTATTCCTGGGGATTTACTCTGCAGAAGACAAGACTAGGGCAAAAAAAGTATCTTTGAAGTGTAAGAGTGAGATCCTCTGTCTTTACATCCCCGGTCTCCAGCCCCTGCTAGTCTGCCATGCCACTCCCTTCCAGCCTGAGTGCAGGGAGCAGTGCCAGGCCAGAGTCCAGATGTGCACATAGAGGAAAGAGCATTAAAAGGCGAAGAATCCCCAAAAGCATATTGCTCCATAGCGTGAAGGCAGCCTGCAGAGAAGTGATTTCCCTGCCTCTGCCAAGTTAGTGATTTTAAACATTCATCTTCTTCCCCCATCCTCATGCAGGGTGTTTAAGTGGTGTCACCAGGTTTTGTCCTCCTCTAAGACTCTAAGCATGTGCAACATGATACAAATTACTTTGAGAACAGCAGAAGTTAAAAAAAACCCAAAACAAACAGCACATACATTTTGTCTGAAACATTAAAGATGTAGACGTGTAGTGAAGGAGTGTTGCTACATGTACCTCTACATATGCACCTCTCTATTTGAAAGGCTCAGGAGGCCAAGAGAGAGCCAGAGAGATTATCCTTACAGCCAAGCCTATAAATGCTTCATCTTTGAAATCTTTTGCTACCTGCCAGCAGAGAACAATAAAACTGTATAAAATCATACATAAAAGATGACAAGTACTTACTACTAGGTTTGCTTGCTCTGGGATTAATGCAGTCCGGGAGGGGAGCGGTAGGTGAGCCCTCCTCCCTGCCGGAGCCCAGCTGACGCTCTCTCCGGGGAAGGGACGGGAGCTGGGCAGAGACAGGAATCCCGCGGCTCCGGTGCTCCAAGCCCGGCATGTGCCCGCAGCCCGCGCCGCTGGGCTGGCTCGCTGCAGCACCGCTACCTCGTCCCTCCGGAGAAGCAGGTTTCCCTCTTCTCCTTCTCCTCCTCCTTCTCCGCCTACTTCACCTCCCACTGCGGAGGATGCCGCGGTGGGAGGTGAAGTAGGCGGAGAAGGAGGAGGAGAAGGAGAAGAGGGAAACCTGCTTCTCCGGAGGGA